CCCCCCCCCCCCCCCCCGGAATCTTTCTTGTTCTCCTGGGCAGCTTTGTTTCTAGCTGTCACTGTGTGTGGTGGGTGAATCGTGCCCTCCTCACAGTGACTTGCTTTTCTTATGAGCAGCTCCACAGGGTCCTCGTTTGACGGTGTCTGCTTCCTGATGTCCCCTTCCCCCGCCCCCTTTTACACTGTTGTAATTGTGGTTGGGGCCGTGTGCCTCTGCCTGCTTGATTCTCCCATTGTGTTTCCGAATGGTGCTGATGGCCCCTGTTCCTCTTTTCAGAGAGCCATGCCCTCTCACTGATGAGCAGGTGGTGTCGGGGTAAGACCAACGCTCTGAAGCAGCAGCACTGCCGTCTCATATGGCTTCCCTCTCTCACCCTCCTTTCCTGTGCTTTGTTTCTCACCTCCTCTTCCTAGCAAGCTGCAATTGAATTGAATGCCAGGCCAGGGCACGTAGTTCTGCACCCAGGAAATCGGGCCACACTTCCAACGGGCAGAGATGGGCGGGGGAGAATTGCAGTCCAGCGGGAGGAGAGCGCTTGCTTTGCGTGCAGTGGCAGGCCTCAGGTCCTGTCCCCGCCAGCATCTTCTGGCTGGGCTAGAGAAGCGTCTCCCTGCAACCAGTTAGCAGAGAGAAGACCGAGCTAGATGTGCCAGGGGACTGTCGCAGGAGCAGGCTGCACTGAGGGCCCATTCTCTGGGACAGTGGGCTCCTGCGGCCCTTGGCAGGCATGGCACAAGGTGTCCCTGCAGGCAGACAACATGCCGGATTTCCTCCGTGGACGACTGAGGCATGCCTGCATGCTGGCTGAAACCCTGAGCCAGGGTTTCAAGGCGCGAACTGGGATCTCCGAAATGCCACATGCCAGAGAGTAGCATGATGGGTGCTTCCAGGGGAGGCTCTCTGTGCGCCATTACCCTGCCTCGTCCACAAGGGATCTCATTGGTGGCATCTGCCACTCATCATCCCGTTCTGTTTTCCCACCACTTCTTCCTTCTTTTTTCCTTACTGCCCAAGGCCTTCTGTTTGATAGCACTAGCGGTCCACCATGTGGAATGCCCGGTTTTTCTCTTCTGTGATGAATTGTCATGGTTTGTTTGGGGCCTCCGGCTCTCACGCACTTGCCCCGAGACCGTGGCACATTTCTGAGTATTTTTCGAAGGATACAGGGCAGCCGAGGCCCTTCCTTTCCTTTGGGTAGCAAGTGAAAGAAGTAATGAATGTGTGAGAAAAGGGGAAATCCTGGAGAAATGGCAGGCCGTTCACTTCAGGTGCTCAGTGGGTAGCAGCTACTGGCCTCATTTCTCTTCTAGACTTGCCACCCAAGGGGGCTGCTGTTGGCTGCTGAGGAAGGGGCTTTCTTGGTGGCAGTTGCAGCCCTCAGTCTCCGTGCCCTCCAATATTGCTGGCTTCCACAGAGCCTTCTGAACATGGCGACCTTGAGCTTGGATGCTCAGGTGCCCTCCAAGACTTGGGGATGGGAGCCACGTGATTGGCTGGCCGGCTGGCCATCCATCCATTACGCCAGCATTTTTCAGAGGCTCTCTGTTCTGCTTCTCCAGCTGCTCCACAATTTGTTGTTTTCATTTCAGGTCAGTACCTGCCCTGAGAATATTAATTTTAAATATTTTGTATGCCTTTAAAACATGTTTATCTAGCCTTCCTGTAGCTGCTTAAAGAGGATTGCAACCTTATTAAAACCCGTGTTTCATCAGCAGTAGTTGTGACCCCTGTAAACAGGTGAGCTCAGCAGAGTTGCCATAAAAGGGCTGGGGATAAGCTGGGGTGGAAGAGGAGGAAGCATTCTGCCCATTTGCAAGTGAAAGTCCTTTTCTGTTCAGGTATTTTGGTCTCTGGCTTCAGAGATTAGTTGAAGAGGAAGGCAGACTCCTCAGCGAGCCCAGCATTTTTAACAAGCAGCTCCAATTCAAGACATGTTGGCTGCTCAAATTTTTCCAATGGAAGAGTCTTTGAATGACTTGCATTGCAAGAATAGAAGAGTGTTTGAGGGTTATGCTGGGTTTAAAACTGAGTTATGCTGGGTTTAAAACTGAGTTTCAAGCAACAAGTTTTTTCAAGTAGATATTTACCTCCTGCACATCCAGGTTTCCATACAGTGTTTGTAGTTGCCCTTTTTCCTTTCAGCACCATTCAGGATTGTTCACTTGCCCAGCACTGGGGGAGGGTTTCGGACAGACCCTGTCAGGTTTTCTGGTGCAGGCCATTGCCAGAACCACCCTCTGTTTTGCCTCGGCTACTTTATCCGATGGGCGCTGCCTCCATTCTTCTCTGTGCAGGTGGATAAGCTGGCCTTCCCTGTGAGCCAAGGCCCGAGGTGGTACAGCCGCAGCCTTGAGGATATGTTGGGTGTAGCGTGACTTTTTGGATTGGTGATTCAGGAAAGGGTGCCCCATGGTTTGTCCTCCACTTGGCTTGTGCCCAGATCCCAGGGGGCTGGAAGCTGAACTTCTGGCAAACAGTGGAATCTGCGCCTGGCTGAACTTTGCAGCAAATCCCCACAGCCTGTGGTGTTGTGGAACTGGAACAAGAAGTATGCAAGGGGCTGCTGTAACATGACACGTGGTTATATGCTGTGCCCCACCCCCCCATGGAAAGGCCCATCTTTCAGAAAACGTGGCCCTTGCTCAGCTTTGAGCGTGGCTTCCTCCTGGGCAATTTTTCAAGCTGATACGGAGCCAGAGCGAGTGCTTCTGTCTGCAGAGTCCACTTTGCTGGAGGCTGGGTGGGTGCAAGGGCAGCAACAGGGAAAGCAGCTGCTCCTCATTTCTAGCCAGTGCACTTCATGGATAGCCTCTGAGTGACCCACTTGGAAGGGCACAGGCATTAGTGTCCTGAGCAGCCATTGGGGCCAAACCGTAGCGATCCAGGGTAGAGGAAGAGAACCAAGCACGGGGGGTGGGGGGTGTCATTATTTAGACCGTGTAAAATGTTAAAAAGATCAGTCACGGTGACTGACTGACAGACTCCTTAGAAGTTGCAAGTTGTCATCCCAGGCGCCTCCACTCTCTTTGTCCAGGAAGCTGCACAGTCTACGGCAGTTTTCTGCTGTGTGGGACAGTTGCAGCCTCTCTCCCCATTGCCTTCCATGCATGTGGCAAATGCTGGAAATGTTGCTCTCTTTGGGACTGAGCAGCTCTGTATTGGTTTGCCACTATCTCTGTTCCAGAGAGGGAGCCAGGCAGGAGTTGGCTGGAAAGGAGCTGTTTTTAGTGTGTCCAGAGAGGGGCTCCTGTTCTTGGACCCTTTTAGGCTTTCAAGGCTATTCTTTGGTGTCTTGCAGAAGTCTGACTTCCAGAATGATAGCTCCGCCCTTTCTCATAGCTGTATCTCCGCCGTGTCCTTTGAGGGAGATGCCCTGTGCTTCAGAGTATCTCTCAGGGCTTGAGGTGTAGAAGGGACAGGAGTACTGCTCTGGGCAATTTGAGGCCTGAGAACTGTTCCTTTTCCACATCACAAATGACATAAAAAGCTTTTCTGTGGAGGAAAGAGTGGATTCCCCAAAGCAGCTCTTTGGGAAAGCGTAAGGATGGGCACAAGGGGCTTCTGAGGCAGGCAGGTACATTCCTGCATTCAGGGGACTGCTTGAGCTGACGTAACACCTTGATGCTTAGAGAGGCCTAACCTGTAGCTGAGTCTGGGGACCTGCAGCCAAAGCAAACTCTGCCTAACTTTGCCATGTACTTCTGAGCTTGCCATGAGTGAAAGATGCACGAGCTGCCCATCTGCCTCTGATGCTTTTCCTTCAATCGTTTTGATGATTTGAAAGATGTGGTCATGACAGCATCTTAATTTCCCTAACTGATTGGCTCCAAGAGGCCCCAATATGTAATGGTTTATAAGTAATAGTTACAGAATGAATAATAATAATAACAACAACAACAACAACAACAACAACAACAACAACAATAATATAATTCTCCTTGGCTCTGGGAAAATATTGGGTTGGTATAAGCACAGTAATCTGTGTTTCTGCTCTTGAAGGTTCTCAGATGTCATCCTGGCAACAATTCTGGCTACCAAATCGGATATGTGTGGCAAAAAGTTTGAGCTGAAGATTGACAACATCCGTTTCGTTGGCCACCCAACACTGCTTCAGCATGCCTTTGGGCAGGTAATGGGCCATGGGCTCAGGAAGGCCATGGCTGTTGAAACAGCCAATGCGTGCGGCTCCGTGACTCTTTCAAGTCAGGCCTGGCCTCCGCCTTTGCCACTTCCCTGGTGTGTACACAGGCAGTGGGCTTGGCAGGAGAAGGAGCCCTGAGGGTGGGTCCTGCTCAGGGCCCCTCTCACCAAACATCCCATTCCTGCCGTGGTTATCTGGATGCCCCAGGCAGGACAGGGAGGGCGGTTCTTCCACTCTGCTCTCAGGCTAATGACGAAAGGAAGAGCTTTCCTCACTCCTCGTGCTTCCTAGCCAGCCTTCAGGTTCAGGTCGTGTGCTCGCCGCCCCCACTTTTCACAAACTTTATACGTGATCTGCATGATTCAGTTTTGGCACTTTCAGGCAGGCAGCTTCACCTACCTGCTGATGCTGTCGCTTGGTATCTTTAGAGCTCAAGCCAGCTCACTTTACTCCATGAGTTCTAAATATCTTCTGCACTGACCCTAATCCAGGGACTGGCCCTGGCACCCAAAGCTTCCAGGCCTTGCCTTTGCACCACCCTCTTGATCCCAGCAGGCCAGTTTCTCAATGACCATCTTAAAACCCCGAACTGGACATGCTGCTCCTCATGATCTGGACACTGCGTCTGCTAATACGATCTCGGGGGCAGTTGTCTTCTCGGTTGCTGCCCTGCCCTGCCCTGCCCTGCCCTGCCCTGCCCTGCCCTGCCCTGCCCTGCCCTGCCCACACACCCTCTCCCCACTCACCATTCTCTTGCATATTTGTTCCACTCTTTCTGCTGCATGTCTTACTTTTCTTGTTTCCTTTGCAGATATCCAAGACAGACCCCTCCCCAAAGAGAGAGATGCCCACAATGATTCTCTTCAACGTTGTGTTTGCCTTAAGGGTAAGGATATCCTGGGATTCACACCAGCAGTGCTTGATCCTGGGAAAACCAGCAGGCCCTTTGGTGAAGCGTGTGTCAGGCGGCCCACAGTGCCCGATTAGCAAGCTGTCCGTGCATGCGCTGGGCTGCCCGAATGTTAGGTGTGGCTAGAGAGCCTGACTGGGCCGAGTGCTTCTCACCGGTCCCTCATCCAACTGGAAGAAGGAATTGAGTGGGTGCTGCTGGGCTTGGGCTTGAGCCCATAGTAATCAGTGCTTCGACTTATGACTTGAGGGAAGAGGCATGAATGCTGAGTAGATGACACAAAGTTGGAAAAAGACATCAAAAGCCCAGATCTTGGTTGGGGATTACCTGGTTCGACAGGAGTATGTGTCAAAAGGATCCTGGAGTTTAGTTGATCACAAGCTGAATGTGCGTCAGCAGTGTGATGAGAAAATCAAGCCAAGACTGGAGAGCCACCTGGCAAGGATGCTTTAAACTGGGTCCCTGCACTGAGCGGAGGACTAGATTTGAGGGCCTCCGTGGTCCTTCCCAGGGGCGTGTACTCCCAAGGCAGACCAAGCTTCAGTGCAGGCCCTGAGGCTTCTCTTCCTTGGATCCACAGTCCCAGGCAAAGGTGCGGTGAAGGTGGCCAGTGTGGAGGCTCCTGGGGGTGACCCTGTAAATGAGCAGTTCAGCTCAGCCTGGACTTGGGGGCTTTCCTAGGGCGGCCTCTCCTGGTATATTATACTCCCGAGAGAACCTGCGTCCCCTCTCCATACCCATCTCTTGCCTTCCTCCTGCCCTGCCTGGAGGACTTGCAGCCCTTCTTGGGTCTGCAGCTGCCAGCATATCCAGATTCCAGGAAGAACCCGTCTGCCGTATGGGGGTGGGCCCCAGCCTTATCCTCCTCACAGGTCCGCTGAAGCCTCATCTCCCCCGTGGCACTGTGACTCAGCGAGAACGCTTGGGCTCTGGAAAGCTGAGTCATAGCTTGCAAGCTTTGTAGGCAAACGTTATCAGCGGCCTTGCCCTCCAGTTCCTTAACAGGCCCGTGGCAGGTGCCTGCCGCACCCCTGTTGCCTGTGCCTCCAGCCCCACCTGCTCAACTGTGCGTGGCTGATAGGTTTCCCACATGCTGCCCCGGTGGAGGCATGAGCCAGCAGCCTGCTGAGCTGGAAAGGAGGACATGCCACGGGGCTTCAGACAGGCACTCACGGGGCAGGCAGCGCTCTCTCTTGTCACGGAGCCTTGGCTCTGCCCCCCCAAGGGTCCTGTGTGGGACTTGGGTGTGGGCTTGGCCAGGCTGATCCCGCCTGTTCCTGCTGCACGTCTTAGCAGGCATAAGGGCACAGAAAGGGCCTGGGAGCACGTGAGGTGATGTGAGTGCAGGCTTGGTCACCAGCCCAAAGAGGAGCCTCGTGGGCTGAGTCCCTGGACCTGACTCTGAGAAGGGCTGCTATCCCTGCTCCAGCTGCAAAAGGGGCACGGCTCTTTGGGGCAACAGCATCCACCTTTCTAGTGGCTCGAGAAGCAGGTCCTGCTGGCCGGGCTGCTTTTCCGGATCCATCTCCCTGAGCAGGCAGCCATGTGAAGGTGGGAAGCCGCCTAGCTCCGGCAGCAGAAGGCAGCTGTGCCGACTCTGGAGAGCACAAGCTGAGGGAGGCGTGAGCAGCTGCAAGGGACGGTCCCGGCTGTGAGCGCCCACTGGCCCACCCTTTGCTGTCCCCAGCTCAGAAGTGTGCCCCTTGTGTCACCCCCAGGCCACTGCAGACCCCTCTGTGATCAGCTGCCTGCACAACCTTTCCCGCCGCATCGCCATTGTTCTCCAGCACGAGGAACGCCGCTGCCAGTACCTCACCAGAGAGGCCAAACTCATCTTGGCCATTCAGGACGAAGTGTCAGCCATGTCAGAAAGTGAGCCCGACAGATTCCTCATCTCCACCCGTGGATGCCGCGTTTTGGCATGTCCATCCTGCTTCCAGGGGAGGTGCTGACACGCCTGCAGCAGCTAAATGCAGTGTCCGTGTCAGGTCATGGGGGGCGGGGGCAGGAGCCTCCCTCCCTTTTACCTCCGTGCTAGTTCAAGTGGCCCGGAACCTTCCGTTTCGCGGGGCGGAGCCGCGGCCAATCCAGCAGCAGCCTTGCCTTCCCTGTGCAGAAAGGGGCATCGGCGCGTCTCTGTATCTGCTGGATGGGGGGTTTCCTGGAGGCACTTGATGGGTGAGAGTGCAGGAGACCCCCGCTTGGGGGCGAGGACTTCCCGTCAGGCCTGTGACGTGCTGTGAAGGCTCCCCAGCTGACCTCCACTTCTTTTCTTCCCGCGCAGGCACTGAAGGACCACAGTCCCCTTTTCTCCACATCCTTCCCAAATGCAAACTGGCCAGGGACCTGAAGGAGGCCTATGACAGGTGAGGCCCCTCGCCAGCTTCACTGCACCCACGGACCGCCCTGGTTTCCTTAGCCAGACGTGGCAGCAGCCCTGCTGGGAGGCCAAAGGGGGAAGCTGCCCACGGCCCAAGCGGTGGGGCCGGCTGTGCCCAAGGGAAGGGTCCAGGGTGGGGCTCTCAGCACCCTCCTCTCTGAAGGACGCTGCCGTCACCTCTGCTTCACCACACCCTCACGGCAGGCTTGCTGAGAGGGCATTGCCAAGCGAAGGAATCCCGTGCCGTTTGTGTTCCTCCCCTGCTTCAGCTCAGGAAGGGCCGGGCCTCCAGGCCTTCATGTCAGCATCGTCTGCTCCCTTGAGGCAGATGTTCGGCAGGAGATTTCCCAGGATCCTCTGCTTTCCAAGAGGAACAGCTTCCTGCTGCCAGTCCCACAGCATCCTCTTCAGCCAGCCTTCCCTATTAGGGTGCCCTCCAGATGTTTTTCATCAGCCCCATTCCAGGGATTGCAGTCTCTAAAGCAGCTGGGGGCACCCTGTTGGAAAAGCTGGTTTAAGCCCAGCTCAGCCTCTCAGCAGTCAGAGTCATGGCTCATGTGAAGCTGGTGCAGGGGAGGCTCTCCAGGGCTGCTCCTGCATGCTTCCCGTGGAATCTGCTGTTCCTTTGGGATTTGTTAGGGTACCCAGAAAGTCCCCCACACCAGCAACTCCTGCAGACCTAGTCTGACCGAGGCTAGGCTCCCCCACTCTGCTGCAGCCCAAGCATGCCTCTCTTCCTGGTCACATGCCAGGCAAGGCCTGACCTGCCCGGTTCCAGGTGCTCCTTGGGGAAGAGTTCAGCCTGCTCCAGAAAGTCTCAGAGGAGCGCAGCGCCCTCTTCTGGGGAGCAGCCACTCTCTCAGCCCTGCTACAGGTTTGCTGGCACTGCCTCTCGGGTGGGGAGAAGTGCCTGTCTTTGCTCTGGTCTTGCCGGCAGCCAGCAGATGGGTGAGGAGTGCATTCCTCTGGAGAGACCAGAGGGGGTGCTCTGACCTGAGACCAGGGCCCAGTCACGTGGCTCTCTGTGGTGCCCCTGAGAGTGGAGGGCCGTTTGTGCTCAGTGCCAGACGGGCCATCCGAGCACACGGAAGGTCTTGGGTCTGATCCAGGCCTTTCCCGGGCAGGGCTGGAAAATTGCCGGAGAGCTGGAGGCAGCTGCCGCCGCCACTGTGTGTCGACAGATCGGGTATCGGGCAGTCTCCTGCATCGCACAGGGCGAAGGAGGCAGCCGTGCTGCGTCTACCACTTCTCCTTGCTGCCTTTCGCAGCTGTGCTTGGGCTAGATCTGGAGCGGGAAGGCCCCTTCTGCAGAGCAGGAGCCCTCCCTGGAGTTCTGAAGCTGCCACCACAGCACAGGTGGAGGCTGGCAACCTGCATGGGTCTGGCTGCTCGGGCTCCCCCACGTGCCGGGCAGGGGCGTCTCCTGCCTCTGTGCGTGAGAATGCCGCAGCTCCCTTTTGCTTTGCCATGGGGCTCTCCCGAGTTGTCCTAAGGCAGGCTGAAATGCTTTGTGGACAGAGTCCCAGGGTCCTTCACAGAATCAGGGCACAGTAGAGCTGGAAGGAGCCACGGGCCACCAGGGCCATCATCCTTGTTGCCCTCTTCCTAACCTGTTCCATCTCGTCTGCATCTTTTTTAAACTGCAGTGCCCAGAAGTATGTGCAGTACTTCCCTGAGGCCTAATCAGTGCCTAACCCTAACCAGAATCCCACAATGAGGCTGAACCCTCAGCAGGTGGGACCCTGCGGCCAGCACAGCTGCGGCCAAGCCAGGCGGCACAGCAGGCCTTCCTGGGCTGGAAGAGGCTCTGGGGCTGCGGGTGGCGCCAGGTCTCAGCCTCCGCCTCCCACTCTTCCTCAGAGCAGCCTGCAGGCACCCCCGGCACCTGCCTACATCCCTCTCTGACGCCGCAGGTTGCTGCTGGCACTGTAGACCCCCGGGGTGCCGTGACAGGCGCCCCGCAAGAAGGCGCTTGGTTTGCGATGCTCGCGGGAGGCCTCCTGGACTTCGTGCCTCTTTCCTTCCAGCCTCTGCACAACGGGGGTGGTCCAGCTGCACATCAACCACTGGCTGGAGGTGAGCTTCTGCCTGCCTCACAAGATCCATTCAGCAGCCTCCCATCTCATCCCCCCAGAAGCCATTGAGAGGAGCCTGAAGGCAATTCGGTATGAGCTCTCGGAGAAGACCAGAACAACCGCTAGTTATGTGTGGCTTGGATGGCACGTTCTGGACGCAGCCTCCCTCCTAGGAGGGAGCTGAGCTGGGCCTTTCCCAATGCCAGGAGATTCGTGCGGGTCGGGGGGGGCGCATCTCGAACCTGGTCCTGCCCCCGGTCCCTGAGGACGTGGCAAGAGGTGGCAGCTGAGCCCTTTTGCAGGGCCCCTTTCACGCTTCTGAGGCTGCCCAGGAGCCGGATCACTTCTGGAGCAGCTTTTTGAGACCTGCACATGCGCTTGCGTTCTCCTGTCACGGCAGGCTGTCTGGGCCACCTTTGAAAATTGTAGTTAGAAGTTAAATGGCCCACACAGCTCTGAAAGCACTGCTCTTGCCTCTTTCCCCGGTGTGCAGTTGCCTGCTGAGGGAGCTGCCTTATTTTCCGGGCATGGTCTAGCTCGGGGCCTGCAGTTCCAGGCTCATGAAGGGGGAGCTTCTGCCCTCCTCTCGGACCTGGTACAGAGAAATAGGACCCTGAGCCCAAGCCGGGCCTCCTTGCTCTGCCCCCAGCAGCAGCAGCAGCAGCGCTTCTCATTGTCGCTCATCTCTTCTGGTGCTGGCATGATGATTCCTCCATAATTCCCCTGAGGGTCATGTCTTTGCTCACCACGACGGCTGCTGCTTGTTCTGCAAAGGGTCGGGAAGCTTTTGGTGTTCCTGGAGAGGGTCAGGCACTGAGGTGCCCCTCCACGGATGGCCTCTCTGTCTTCCTGCAGGCCTTACCATGCCCTGCTGCTTCTGAAAGATGAGAAGTCCCTCCTCAGCGAGCTCCCCTTGGACTGTTCCCCTGCTCTGGTCCGTGTCATCAGGACCACCTCGGCTGTGAAGAACCTCCAGCAGCTGGCCCAGGATGCTGACCTGGCCCTGCTCCAGGTGCCATGGGCAAGGGGTGGGGAGTGCACAGGGTGGGCAGTTGGCCTGAGCAGGCCCAGCCTAGTGGCCACGGTGGCCTGGAGGAGTGAGCGGGGCCTCTGCTTGGCGCAGCTGTGTGCCATCCAAAGCGTGTCTCTTGTGTCTGTGCCACGGGGAAGGACTCTCTTCTGCTCCCAAGGGCCCAGAGGAGGAGTTAGCCATCCTCTTGTGGCAAAGGAAGCCAGAATGTCGCCTCTTTTCACGTGCTTCGGCAGAGCCCGTCCGCGGCTGCAGGCTGAGACCCAGCGGGGCCCGTCCAGCCAGTCCCACACGGGCCTTCCCCCGAGTGCCGGCCAGCCAGTGCCTGCCTCCGAGAGGGCGGGCGGGCGGGCGGGCAGGGCGCTCTCCTCTCTGCTGTGACACTGGTAATTGTCACTGCATGGCTTCCCCACCGTGAACCACGGCCAAAGATAACCCGACTGAGCCAGGACCCGTCCGTATGTCAGGCAAGTGCTGCCGTGGTGAAGGACCAGTGGAGCACCTGGGTGGGTCCTCCTCCATGAGGTTGGACCACAATGGGAAGGGGGGTATCCATCAGCATCCCGGGGTGGGAATTTTGCCTAGGCCCACTGCCAGACCCCAGGAGCCTCCTGACTGATGTGGGGCAGGGATCCCACAGCACGCTGCTTGAGGTGGGGCTGGCCAAGGGCTTTGGGCAAGCCTGCTTCGGCCCTCTGCAACTTGCCGCCTGGAAGCCCCTTCTTCCCAGGCCCTGGCTGCGGCTGCGGCTTCCTAAGCACTGGGCCTGCTCAAGACACCTTTGCGTCCCCTTCCTCCTCGTCTGCCCTGCTTTGGCCTGCAGCTGCGCCAGGCTCATGGCCTCTTCCGTCTCGCGTGGCAGGTGTTCCAGCTGGCTGCACACCTGGTGTACTGGGGAAAAGCCATCATCGTCTACCCACTCTGCGAGAACAATGTCTACATGCTCTCTCCCACCGCTGGCATCTGCCTGTAAGTGTTTCTGAGCACTCTGCTCCAGGAAGCCCAAATCACGCGAGCACGATTTCCATGCTGGGGGAGCCGGGAACTCTGGTGGCTGCAGGGTTGGGCCTCCCCATCAAACCAGGGGAGGGCTCGGGCAGGTCCCTGTCTCCTGCCAGGCTTCTAGTCGGGATAAGTGGCCAAAAGTCCACAGAAGCCAGCTGGAGCCCTGTGGAAGTGGCTGAAAGACGAGCCTTGACTGCTATTTCCTTTGGTAGTTACTCCCCTCTGGCAGACAGATTCTCCTGCCAGTTTCCGGGTCATGATCTGCCCTCAGTTCTGTCCAAGTTCTCCTTGCCAGTTTCTCTGTCAGAGTTCAAGGATCCTCTTGCTCCGCCAGTGCAGGAGGTACGTGGTTTCTGCTCCCCCCCCCCCACTCTCTGGCTGGAGAATGAGCCATTTGCCTGTCGAGCTGCCTGTGGGCGGCCCCCACAACGCTGTGCTTTGCCCTCGGGCGCCCCTCTCCGTCTCCTCCCTCAGACGCAGCTCATACAGATGGTGGTCTGGATGCTCCAGCATCGGCTCCTCATCCAGCTCCACACCTACGCCTGCCTGATGGCTCCCCCAAAGGAAGAGGACCTGCGGGCCCGAGCGGACGAACGGCCCCTTGCTGCCCGGGCTGGCGGCCGAAGCCTCAGCACCCCAAACGCACTCAGCTTCGGCTCTCCCGGTACGGACCGTCTCTTTCTCCCCAGCAGAGTCTGGCCGGAGTTGGGACGCCTGCGCGTGGTGTGGGCAGGGAAAGGCCCCACCTTGCGTGGGCGGCAGGCTGAGCCAGCGCAGCTCGGCCAGCCGTGCGGTGCTTTTCCACGCAATGCGCCAAGTCAGGCCTCGCTTTCTGGTCTTGGGGTTTCTCGCTTCAGAAGAGGCAGCTCATCAGGCCCTGTGGCCGTGGCAGGCCATGCGGAGGCGAGTGTTGGGCAGGGACCTGTGGCTCTTGCCTCCCCGCTCGTCGCTCACTCTCAGCCCAAGTTTTCCCGCAAGGGGAGGAAGGAGGGATAGAAATGTAATAGGATCATCGTCAGATCCCTTCGGTGCAGTGCAGACTGGGGAGCGGGATTGGCTGCAGCTGCCAGCCCTGTCCACTCACAGGAACATTCATCTCTCGTGGGAGGGGGTGTGCAGAGCTGCCAAAGGATTTTCCCACGTGCCTGTGGGCTGTGGGGCTCCCCCGCCGGACTTGCGCTCCCTTTGGCGTCAAGCAGCCTGCAGTCGGGCATCCCTGGGTCACTGCTCTCGAGAGAGCTCGTGCCAGAGGCGGGAGAAGCGTGTGGGCCTTTTCCTTCTCGCCTGCTGCGGAAGAGGCCGGCTGTGGTCGTGGAAGCGCTGTCCCTCCCTCTGCGCTCACAGGCCCTCGGCCACTGGCTGGCTTTGGCCGGCCATCCGTGCCCTTGGAACGAGGGATCCCTGCTTCACCTCCTGGAGGCCTCTTGTGAGCGCTGCAGCAGGCCAAGCTTGCCGCTGCCTTCGCGAGGCCCCCGTGGCCTGACCCTGCTCCACTCGCTCTGCCCTGCAGCCAGCAGTGACGACATGACCCTCACCAGCCCCAGCATGGATAACTCCAGTGCAGAGCTGCTGCCAGGCGGAGACTCGCCCGTGAACAAGCGCATGACGGAGAACCTGTTGACGAGCCTCTCGGAGCATGAGCAAGAAGCTATTCTCAGTGTCCCAGCGGCTCACAACCCAGAAGACCTGCGCATGTTTGCCAGGTAAGGAGGCATGTGTCCCCGGAGGGCTGCCTGCTCAGCTGGCCAGGACGCTTCCCACCTGGTGCCCAGGAAGGGTTGGCTGGGAAGGGCCAAGCAGGTTCCACTGGCGCCCCAGCTCAGCGCTGCCCGATGCTGCTTTCTGAAAGGTGTATGGCCCACCCTGAAGGCCAAGGTGGCGCCTGGCTTCCCTGTTTGGTATTGTACCTGCACCAGCCTGCAGTATTTCCTGATCCTTCAGAACTCGAAGGGGAATGCTGCACACTCGGACATGAGATGGCCTGCTTCAGAGGGTTTTGTCTCTCCTTGTAGTGCCCCGCAGCTCCCCCTCAGATGTGCCTCGTGAAGCCTTTGCACACCATTCTGGCACGTGCCACATACAGAATGTGCGGAAAGGCAGCATGGGAGGAGGTGGTGGGGAAGGGACTGGCTGCGGCTCCTTCAGCCCCCCCACCCCTGGCACAGTCCGGTCTGGCTGGCCGAGCCATTGTGGGAGTGGAGGCGTCTCCCCCCAGCTGGAGCCCCCTGGCAAGCTGGCCTGGGCTGCTGGAGAGTCTGGCAGTGCCTCGCGCTCCCCCGCCCCCCTCGAGCCGGTGTGCGAGGGAAGGCGAGTTGCTCCCTGCCGTGCCCTGGGCCCCTGGGCGGGCGGCACGGCCCGGCCGCAGGGGGCTCTGGCCACGTCCCAGTACCGAAGCTGCCCCTGCGTTCCTCTCTCTGCAGGCTGCTGCATTATTTCCGAGGGCACCATCACCTGGAGGAGATCATGTACAACGAGAATATGCGTCGCTCCCACCTGCTCATGCTCTTTGACAAGTTCCGCAGTGTGCTGGTCGTGACCAACCATGAGGATCCTGTCATTTCGGTCTTTCAGTCCTTCCAGAAGTGAGCAGACCCTCACCTGGAGTCTCACCCACGCCCGTGAGGGCGGGAACGTTGCCAGAGCTGGACTGTGGGCTGGCCCATTTGCTCTGGCTGGGAGAGTGCAGGTCTTTGGTCTCCGGGGCCTGGGTGGTGGTGCCGGGGCACACTCAGGCGGGGTCCCTGGGGCGAGTGCTGTCGGCTGCGCCAGCGAGCAGCCCGTTGACTCTGCTGTGCCGAGGCTCCCATCTGCCTCGGGGGAAGGCTGGCCCGCTGTCGTCGGAGGAGACTGCCCCACGGCAGCTCCCCTGAGGTCTGTGCAGTGGCTCTTGGCAACGTCTGCTTGGTGCTGTGAGCAAATAAAGCACCTGCCCCTGGACAGTGTGGCTCGTCTCCTTTTCGACCCGGCCTCGCAAGCAGGCGGCACCTTCCCTGTGCATCCTTCCCTTTTCCTTGGGCTGTGCAAACTTCTGTTTCCTTCACGACTGGGATCCAGGCGCTGGAGAACGCGGGAGTGTCTGTGGGGCCATGTTTTGCCCGTGGCAATCGTGGCACATGTCCCCTTCTCCCAGAACAGGCGGTGTGCGTGTGGGAGAGCAGGCCAGGGGCTGCCTTGCTGCAGGTTGGCAGCCAGATGGAGACCCTGCGAGGCAGCACTGGAAGCTGCTTCAGGGCAGGGAGGAAGGAGGTCTCTTTGGTGCACTGCTGCATTCCCCCAGGACCCGATCACCCATGTGCCACCGAGCCAGGCTTTTGTAATGCTTGATGCACTGGGGCATCTCCATGGGCACCGAGCCCCCTATCTGTGCCTTGTTCCCGAGCATGCGGTGGTTTGACACAACCACCACGGCACTGGCACTGGCACTGGCAGCATAGGGCTGGGGCCCACCCCATAAAAGAAGCTTCAAAGGCTTCATGCATGTTAGGGTCATGCGAGGGCCAAGGTCAAAGGCCCAGAGCTAAGCCAGGGAGCTGCTGAGAATCCCAGGGTTTGGAAGAGGTGACAAGTTTTCCGTCTGGAGTCGACTTCCCATCATGAAGCCGCATTTTCCTAACGGCTGGCATTCAAACTTTGCTTGTGCCTTTTGATGCTGACTCTTGCCTTTCTTTAGCAAATCAGCTTTAGCACTGTAAGGACTTGACACAGAAAGCCTTTGTTCTGATCAGCTTTGAGGAAGAGGGGGAAAATGGGCACTGCTTGCTCGGCAGGTCACACCAAGGCCCCTGGGTGAAAGGCTTCTTCTGGCTTCTGGGGACAAGGAGGGCTTTCCCCGGGAGCGTGGCGTGCTTGGGGCATCCCCGCGGCAAGCTTGCTCCTGCCCACAAAGAGCATATCAGGCCGCCAGCTCTGGCAGCCTTGCCCACCCAACAGCAACCACTGGAGCAGAACAAAACACGTTTATTTATATAAATGCTAAAAGAAATGGACTTCAAGAAATGGTCCCAGGCCCAATCCTCATGTCATGCTATCCTGCAAGCCCCGAGCAGGGCAACCTTCCCGGGGCCTTGGTGGCTAAGTTCAGCAAGCTAGTGGGCTGGCGCTGGCCCGCTCTGCCTCCTTGTCTATCACACTCACATACTTGTTGCCCCGGAGGTAGAATCGCAAGGGCTTGCAGGCCCAGTCGCCACTGATGCCGACGCGGCTGGTGCAGACGAGGGCTTCTTCCTGGGGGGCTTCCAGGCCGGGCTCCAGCCACACAGCCGGGCTGCAGGCCAGGTCCTCCTGGTCAAAGCCCTTGTCGATGGCAAGGGCTTGGCAGAGCTTGGAGGGCCCGTTGCACAGCTGCCGGTCCTGCAGGGGATGGGCCGCCCCCTTCCGCTGAGCAAGGCGCAGCGCCCTCATTGTGCTGAGGCCCTGCAGGGGCTGCAAGGAGCGCAGGAGGACCGCAGCCCCCTCCCCTACAAAGGACAGACCGAGAATCAGCAGTGCTCGCCTGCTCCGCAGCCCCGCTCCTCCAGTAGTCCCAGTCACGGCAGGCAGACGGGGAATGGAAGCGCAGCCAAGCTCGAACAGGGTTGCTCATCTGGGTGAGGCAGCCAGAGGAGCAGGGAACCCCCACGCGAGGAGGGGGCCCCAAATCCTCCTGCTCAGGCACTGCTAGCTCAGACCCCATCAGTCTGCACTTGCAGCTGGTGAGAGACTCAGTCAAAAGCCTCTTGGAAGTCCAGTAAACGGTGTCCACCAGAATGCCACTGTCCACATGCTTATCGATTCCATCATTAGGAATAATTTCAACCAGTTTACCCAGAACAGACGTTAAGCTAACCAGCCTGTAATTTCCCTGATTCTTCCAGATCCCTTTTTAAAAATTGGTGTTACCGAACCGACATCAAGGACAGAATTCCAGAGGGGCAAAAGAAACAAAAACCGGCCTTGCGGCCCCACGAAGACAAACTGAGCCTGCCCTGCACTTTCCTGGACACTGCGTGATGCGTCGGGAAGACGCGGTGTCCATAAAAGCCTGGACATGCGAAGGGGCCACATGACATCCTCGCAGAGGCCTCCATTCAGCGGCACGTGGGGCCTGCAGTATGCTTGCCTGCCTGCCTGCCTGCCTGGAGAGAGGGGCCGGGAGAGGGAGAGGCGGAGCGTGTCGCGGGGACGTGTCCGCACAGCCCTCCTGAGCACCTGGCAGCCGGCACTTTGCAGTCAAGAGGGCCTGCCGGCTCCCATTGCTTACCTTGGCTAGAGACATTCAAGCAGAAGTAAATCCCGTAGATTTGGTACACATACAGAGTGCCTGGTGGCATGAACATGGCCATGTTCCTCGCAGTCTGCCGCCCACCCCGTGAATGGGAAGCGGTATCGTCCCCTCCCAGGTAGGCCTCTGTCTCCACAATCCGACCCCGAAGCTCTCTCCCATCCGGCAGCTTCCGAACCAGGACCTGGAAAACAGCAGGGAAGGAGCCCTCCCAAGCACCTCAGCCAGACAGAGCACCTGTGGGCCCCGCTTGCCAGCGCTCCACCTCAATGCCCAGCAAAGTGGGCTGCCCTCTGGGGAGGCCTCCAGCCAGGGCACCGCTGCTTGACACTGGGAGCAAACTCGGAGGGGAGCTGGGTGTGCTGGGGAGACTCGAGAGACTGGAGCTCCACTTCAGCTCTTGCCAGCTGACAGTGGCAGGGCTTTCAGTCCCTGCTCACCCAGCAGACGGTGGAGGCCACCAAGCCCCCAGCTGTCCTTGGCCCAAGGCTCAGCCAGCAAGCCAACCGTGGGGCCACTTGCTCCCTGCAGGAATGGCCGCTTCAGCAGTCGTAGCCAATAATAACTGGTTGTGCATCCTCCTGACCTGAGTTGTGCATGACCCCACGCATATGGGAGGAGAGAGGCTGAAGGAGCTGTCCTTTGCCGTACACGAAGCAGAAGAATGGCTGTGGCAGTGGAGGCAGGAGGAAGGATCCCCAGCTGCAGGTAGGCCACAGCTAAATGCTCTCTTACATGCACAAGTTGCTAGAACTGAGTTAAAAATGTTTCTATATTGAAATCTTGGGTGGCCACTGCCAGCTGGGTGGGCCAGCTGAGGCTAAGACAGTGAAGCATCTGATCTGTCCAAAATGGTCCAAGTTCATGAGATCTAGAATCTTACTTTTATTCAAAGGTAGAGAAGGTGCTTTTCATGCAAGAGACTCCAGGTGTGATACACTGAGGAAAGGGCTTTATCAGTGGTGCCCCCCACCATGGAATGCCTACCCTCCGAGGCTCACCAGTCTCAACATCATTCTCTTTTGGCATCAGGGGAAGATGTCCCTCATGTCGAGACTCTTAAAGATATGCATGGAAAGGGCTGGGGAGGCACCCGTCCCACATGCTTGAGGGGCCGCTCCCCCCGTTCTTTCAACTGGTTTGTTTTCAAATGTGTACATTTGGGGGAGCTTTTAGGGATGTTTGCAGCGCTTTTACGAAGCGCCCTTCCTGCGAGAGCGTGGCTCTCGGGCGGGACAGCAAGCGAGCCACCAGCATGGAAGTGGCAGCAGGGCAGGAGCCGGGCTGCCCCCTCCCGGGGCCCAGCGCGGGCCGCTTCAACTCCTCGCACCCGCTCGCCTCACCTGTCCTAGGAGGCCTTTGGCCAGGCGGATGCAGGGCTGGTCGAAGTACTCCGCGCCCAGGCGGGCCGGGGCGGCCCACGGAGAGAGCGGGCCGGGGCCGTCAGGCGGGCAGGACCGGCGGGGCGGCCTGGCCCCGAGCCGGGCGGGGGGCGCTCCGGGAAGAGCCCGCTTCCGTCCGTCGGGCATGGCAGCGCGTTTGCTTCGGGGCAAGCGGGGGCGGGGCGCCGGCGGCATCACGTGGTAGGAGCGTCGACGAGCCCCGCCCACGGGCCGCGCAAGGGCGCCCCCACGCGGCGGCAGCCGCAGGAGCGGAGAGCCCCGGCAAGACGTCGCTCGCGGGCGACCCGCTGCCTCCCCCCGCCCCCGCCGCCACGCGCGGACTGCAGGCCGGGGAGGCCTCGACCTCAGTTCTTTCCCTCGCGCGCTTTGCGCGGGGCATGTGGGCGGAGGCGAGAGGGGCCGAATAGCGCTGGGCGCGCTCGCTCGCATCCCTTGTGCCGCCCGGACTCAGCGAGGCGGGGGGGGGGTTGGTGGGGGCCGCGAAGAGAGCCGCGCGCCTGCCTGGAGCTCCGGCCTGCGACGATGGCGGGATGCAGACCATATGCAGCAGCCGCAAGCAGAAGCGTAACTTTCTGGCCGGGCCTCTGCAGCAGAGCAAGCGTGAAGCCTCGCCGAAATCCAGGTGCAGGATGAGCCCTGCGCTGTCTCGAGAGGAGGCCCAGTTTGGAAACAGGATCTGCTTCGCATCCAGCAGCAGACTGGAGAGTGTGAAAGAGGCCCTGCTCGGGCACAGGCCAGAGCTCATGAAGCCAGCTCAGGGGGGTGAAATGCAGCCGGAATGGGCACATCACTTTTTCCTCAGGTAATGCATACCTGTGTGGCTGGAGACAGAGACGTTTCCTGGCCTGATAAGAGTCTCCTGATGGCCTCCCCAGCCCCCTGCGAGTTTGCGGGGGGGGGGGCAGAAATACTTCACTAGGCAGAACCAAGAGATGCCTGTTTCTGTGCCTGGAGCCAAGAGAGGCCGCAAATAGAAACCCGCACATAGCTGAGCCGCCCGGCCGCCCCTCCCTTTCCCGGCAGACTGAGGTGGGACCTCAGCTATTTCCAGAGGACGACGACAGCCGACTGCATCTCCACCAGTGCTTCCATCTCTGGCCCTCCCAGGGATTCCTTCCAGAGCTGAAGCGGAGAGCCTCGTGCTGCAGCGAGCTGGTGCAGCCTGGGAGGCACCTGCACCCAGAGCAGGCACCACTTTGGGAGGGGCTGGGGCAGCGGGCGGCGGGCAAGAGGCCTCAGCTGGCCAGGCAAGGCACGCAGCAGGAGCCCAACCGGCCAGCCTCCCCGTGCTGCGGATGCCACTGTCTAAGAATGCACCGAGATAAAAATGTCCTTCCCATTACAGCCAGGAAGCCATTGGGGTGCCTTGGCAGTTAATAGCACCAGGTGCGCATCTTCCATCCTGGGCCACCAGAGCGTCCTGGCCAAGCCTGAGGCCTGGCATGCCCGGCAGGCCCTGCTGTACTCCCTTCCAGGTGGGGTGGGACCTGCTGACCTGCCTCCCTCTCCTTGGAGCTGGGAGGACTGAATGAGCCCTCCACCCACAGCTGCTTTGAATGTGGAGGAATCCTGAGGAGGAAGCTCCGGTGGTCCCCATCCTCATGGTCTTCATCTGTTCAATGCACACGTTGCAAAGACCAGGCAACGCCCTTCTGCAACCTGGAGTCTTCAAAGTCCCCATGCCTCTAAGTCCCCCCCACCCAATTCTCACACAGGTGAGGAGACTCCCGTAAAAACAATCCAAGGCCACACAACCACATAGGGCAGGAGATCCTGCAGGACTGTCACTTGCAGTGGCGTAAAGAGACAAGCGGGCCCAAGTCTGAAGGAAGGTCCACGGCAAGGAGTACCAACAGGATGTGTGGAGGAAAGATAAAGGAGCATTTCAAGTGCACAGCATTGGCTGCTCCCCAAGGAGCACAATTTCAGGGCAACGTGGCCAGGATGAGGGCTGCCAGCTCCACCAGAGAGGAGGAGGAGGGCAGGCACAGATGACCGGCCTCCGTGGAGATACGCCCTTCCCCAGGCGAGGAGTGGTTGCGGTGAGGGGTGAGGGCTCCTTTTCCTGCTGCTGAGCCCCATGGCAGCCGAAGAGCGGACTGCTCCTGTGCAGGACTGGGCAGCGGTCTGCACGGAGGGTGTGGGCCCTGGGAAGGCACAGCTGCCCTGCATTAAAATAGTCTTCCACAAACAAGCGCTGCCCTGCAGGACGGCGGGATGCCACTCGCTGGGCTATTCTTACTCCGCAAACTTCCCTGGACGTTTGGCACAACAGGAAGAGGGCTGAAGTCCTTGGCCGTTCCCACAGAGCCAAGAGGCTGCCCAAGCCCTGGATTCCCCTCTGGATTCGAGGTTTGCCACTGCGCTGCTGCAGCCCTGCTCACTCACTGCCGGAGCCCACCCTGTTCTCCAGAGAGCTCCTCTTCTAGCCAGGCCTGCAAAGGGTAATACCTCGCAGAGGGAAGCGAATCCGCTTGGCCCAAGGCCAGGCCTGGCCAGGGCAGGCCAGGAGAGCCTGGAGTACATTCTGGCTGGAGCTCTGGAGCAGAGGCCTTCGAGGACTTGCTGTGGCAAAGGGCAGCCCGTTTCCTCCCACAGGGGATGCCAGGTGCCCCTGCGGATGATGGGAATGGCTTCCCCGGGACTTTTGGGAGGCTTGGTCAACAGCAGCCTACTAAAAGCAGTGCACTGGCCTGGCCTGGCCTCCACAGGGCTTCCGTGTTCTGCTGCTTTGCCTGGGATATTCCCGCCAGCCTCCTCTCCTCTGACATGACCACTTGGCTTCATGCATCGTTCCCTCAAGAGGAAATGGGGTGGGCGGCGGTGGGCAGCAGCCCTGCGCTTCGCTGCTAGCAAGACACTGTGTTGCTTGCCACAAGCCACAAGTGTGCCAGGAGGGAGCTGGGTGGCTCGTGGCTAGGAGAGCAGAGCTTTCCTGGGGAGCCGCAGCACCCGGCTTGCCAGTGTTCCCATCGGAGGCAGGGCGGCCCTGCTGCCCAGGAAGGGAGCCAGGAAAGAAGGAACGCGCGTCGCTATTCTTCCTGCTGGGATAAAAGCCTCCGGAAAGGGAAGCGGCCACTCCGCCACCGCTGAAAAGGCGGCGGACGCCACTCTCAATGGCCACATTCTTGTGCTCTCTGCAGGGCCTCTCAGTGCCAGGCTTGGTCACAAAGGCGTATTCAAGCCTCTCCCCCCTCCTGGCCATTCAGGGGCTGAACCGGCCCCGGGGCAAGACCCCTGCCAGCCCGTGGCCTGCTCCTCGTGACAAAGAGCCCTTGCACAGCCATGGGTCAGCAATGGAGCTGGCCCACTGCAGTGTGGGAAACAGGCCAGGTGAAGGGGCAGGTGGGCAGGCCAGCCGGCCACCACCTGCAGGAGCAACCGGAACACCTGCTGCTGACAGTGGGGGCTGGTGGGCTGGGGAGCCCTGAGCCCAGCCAGCCGCTGGAACACCAATCCGGCCACTTGCGGACAGTGCAGCAGCAGCGGAAGCAGTCTGGGCTCTCAGGCTCTTGGGGCGGCCACGATTTTGGAGGGGGAAGCGGGCCGAGAGGCGTGCAGTGGTGCCACGCTGGGGTGGCAGTTTTATGCTGGTGCTTGCATGATGTTTGCCATCAGTCTGACGGCTCTGTTGACGACCAATTAGGCTCTTTGCAATAAACGAGTACCCCAGAGAAGGAGCGGAGCACCCCAGCTGGTACCACATGGGCAGAATGCCTACCTGAGCACCTTCCTATGCCAGCTGGCACTGGATGGCCTGCACCAGCAGAGCCACCCTGGCCTGCTGCTTGGTCCCATCCCTCCCCCCAGCTCTTCAGGGGTGGCCCGGAATGTCCCAGGTCCGAGGACCCCCTGCCTCTGGGTGGGAAGACAGAGCCGGGGGCTGCTGGAGAGGCGCGCGGCGGGCGGGAGTCGCGTTGGCCCTGCGCGGGGCCGCCCGGGCATCCCTCGCGGCGAAGGCGTCGGCCGCCCCACTGCAGCCCTGCTGGCCCTGCAGGGGCTCCTGCGCGCGGCGCGGCCGGCAGGCAGCCGCTTCCCCCGGCCGGCTGGGAGGCTGCGCGGGCCCAGGGCGCGGGGACTGGCCCGTCCCGTGCGTCCCGTCCGGCCGCCGCCGCCGCGCCGCGCCGCCGCGCTCTGGCTGGCGCTTCCGACGAGGGCGCATTCCTGAGGCCTGAGTCACGCCCGGCCCGCCTTGCACGCCGGGACGCCCTTCGGGCTCCAGGCCGGGCCGCGCCGAAGCCGGCCCCCAGCTGAATGGCCGCCCAGCCGCCGCTCGCTCGCTCGGCTCGTCTCGGCGCGCTCCCT